GACTCCGCGATCCTTCGCAGAAAATCGGATGCTATTCCGCGTGGAGGAACGATCCCCGTCACCTCGATCGATCGCTATCGGTTAGATCCTGGAAGATAGGTTTGTGGGAAAGTGCTTTTAAGGATAATTCGTTTAAGGCGTACATCGGGCAACGAATGGAACGGGTTTTAAAGTTATTAGACATTTAAATCGAATGAAGCGTAAATTAACTAACAGGAATAGTTTATCCTGGAATTAATTGCGAACCTTTGGCTTTGTATCCTAAAAAATCGTTTTCTCGAAAATTCTGAAACAATCGTGATTCTATACTTCCGTTCTTATGTATTTACTTCCATTTGGAATAGAGAGAAAGTTTGGAATATCGGTTTGTTTAAGTTGAGTAGAAAATTGGTATAATATCATAGGAAGATTGATAAACTTTTATATTTTAGATTTAGTAGTAATGAAAAATGAAAAATAATTTGGTTTAATTGGTTTAAATAATATAAAATAAGGATTATAGCATAGTATTCCAATTTATTTTATGAGATTAAAAAAATAAATAAATAAGATTGTTTTCTTTTTATAATCTACAGAAATGCAAAAATCACAGTATAGGAACAATTATGATTCATCTATTTTTCCTATTCAAAAAAACTTGTTATAATTACTCATATGTCATTTAATATTGAATAATGTAGATTCATATTTAATATTTATTTACAAAAAATTAATAAATAGTTATTATTAACAATGCTGATTTAGATTCATTGTTTAATCTCATAAAATCCTTAGAACTTCCTTATAGAATATATATTAGGAGCTTATCCATTTATGTACAAAAAATTGTTGCAAATATTTATAAATAATTATATTTTTAGACTATATTTATTCTATTCTTTAATCATTAATCGTTGCTCTCTTTTAAAAACCGCGCCAAAAATATAGAACGAATACGTAGCTTAACACATAATCCATATTTCTTTCTTTTAATTTTTTCTTTTCTTAATATCCTTTATATACCTATTTCTTCTCGTATATTCAATTCATCAAAGAACGTTATCTTTTAATAAAAATTATTATTATCATTATTTGTAAAAAGATATTATTTATATGCTTTAATAACCGGAAAGGGATTGTGAAAGAAAAGGATATATTAGAATATTCTAGAATGGGCAGAAAACACAACTCTTAATCCCATTCAAAGGAAAACGTTACATCCCGCGATAACTCGATTATTATGGAACATATTGATTCATGTATGCTGCACGAAGCGGGGAGCAAAAAGCGAATTTGAATCGGCCGGTAAAACAATGAAATAACGATGTAATCTTCGACAATGGATGGCATAACCGGCCGTAGTCGCGCGTTGTCCGCTTGTTAACGATGAAATATTACGTATGTACGGCAGCTGTCATCTTACTTGTCCTTTGACGGCATATTTATACCGGTTTCACCCTGTTCCGCGGCGCCTGATCGCCGATAATGGATGCCCCTCGCTAATACGCCTCGTTTGCGAGACGCTTTTACGCTTCTGATTCCATTGCTAACATAAGCAATCTAAATTTTCATACATAAGTAGAATCCCCGTCCAATTATCGAGTATTTAAATATCGAATACAAGAGAAATGGAGAAAAAGAAAAAAAAAAAAAAGAAATAGAAATCAAATCATTAAACTTCGAATGAAATTCAAAACTAAAAACATGGTCGTTACGAATAGTTTTCCAATTCGACTGATTTATCCTGTGACACGAAAGATACGGTATCCCGTTATCGGGAAAATAAAAAAAAATAAAATAAAAACACGAAAAAAAAAAATTGTAACACGCGCGTGAAGTTAAAACCGCTCTTTTTGCGAGACAACCGAACCGGAAAGGTTTGAAACAATGTGGAAGTAGAGGGCTTATCGATCGCTCACGATTGATCGACGTGTATCGAAATCCTTCGTGGATCTAACAGACTGTCTTTCGCGGCACATTTATGCCGGGTTTCCACTGTGCATGACGTCCGATGGACGATAACCGGCGCGCGCGCTAATACCACCAATCAGGAACAGAACGGGATCGGGAATCGGTAATCAGGATCGACGTTCGCGTTCTCCAAGAGGCCATTACTCAAAGATCCGACATACCGGCAAAATAGGTGTCACATGACGATTAAACCTGCCCAAAGCTGAATTTCTCGTTAACCTATCTGTGGTTTCTAATATATATAATATACTACTAGTATATTATATACAGAGAAAATGTATTCAATCATTTCAAATTCTACATTATCCTATTTGCTTTTAGTCAAAAGTCAAAAGTCAAAAAAGAAAAAAAAAAAGAATTCATTAATGATTCTGATTTCAAAATTAAACGAAATTTCAATGTTAATTCAAAATTGTATCTTATATTATATCAACAATAAATAGTTTTAAAGTTCAAATATATAAAATCAAAAATATAGAAATAAAAAAATGTATTCATCAAAATGAAAATCTAAATTTTTGTAAGAAAATGTTAAAGAAAAAAAGAAAGGAGAGCGAGAATTGTTAGCGGTAGTGACGAGTTTTCGATTGAACCATGATCATCGTGGAAAAACACGAAGTGAGAAGAAGAAATGGCGGATCCGTTTAACAAGGTGCTTCGCCTACCGGATAATACATAAGGGGTATTAAGGCCGCTACTCAATTGGGTATGAGCTCACCGAGAGGTGGACGTCTCAATTTTCTTCGCGACTTAATGACCGATCGTTAAAACCCGGCTTCGCCTCGAACCGGCTCCTCGCCGCACGAGAACGAGCAAGATAAAACGAGATGAACATATTTGATCCTCTCTCTTACGTTCTTACTCACATTCTCATACTAACACATATCGACAATTCTCGTCGTTCTAACGTAATCATGAACTTTCTGTTGTAATGATATTTACAAGTATCGAAAGATTTCGCCAATTTCTCGTCATAATTTTACTTTTGTTGCTATAGATGAATATCTAAATATAATATACATTCATAATACAACTAAAACTACCGTATTTTATTTCGATCAATCTCATCAATTTTCTCTCGTTTTCGTATATTTCATATCAATAGAAATCGTATTTTTTTAATGATTAGGACTAGATATCGTTTCAAAACAACTCGTTAGATATTTTTTATCGTAAATATTTTTAATTTCCAGATAGTGTTGCATATGCATATTTTATGGTTATTATGAATATCATGTATTCGAATATCGTAACTGAATTTATGAGATTCGCTAATTTTATGATTATTAATTTTAATTTGCATTGGACGGCTATTGAATTACTCATTACTATGATATAGGATTAACTTTATGTTTCATTTTAAACAAGAATTTCTTTTAATTTGATAATACTACGCCATATTACTTACGAAAAAGAAGAATATTTCTTTAAAATACTTTATCCTTATCCAGATATTTCGTATTGTTGTTCTGTTCCTACACTTTCATCTTCAAAAAATTGTTTAAATTATTTTTATAAAAAAATTATATGCACTGAATATAATTAACACACACATTTCGATGTGACACTGAAAATATCAAAACCGTTTCATACCGAAATCGCCCTCTAGTGAACAAAATTTAAATGATTTACTTTAGCGCCACTTACTCTACAGTCGATACATCACATTCTACATTCTACAGTCGATATGTCTTTTTAACAATAAATAAATAATATAAAAAAAGATAATAGTAACATTTACATTTTTACAACGTCTTAAATTTAATAATATTTGTCAAGTATTTGTTGAGATATGTCGTACATCCATTGAAGACTCTGCTAAAATAATATCAGAAGAGCTTGCTCGGTCTTCTGTTAGTCGAATTTCCGGAGCGCTGCGAGCGCGTACTGTTCCCGATTTCCATGTATCTTTAGTTTGAACTTCTCGTATAGCAGTATTGGAGTACCCTTTTAATTTATTCGATCGAATTTTAGATACTAATTTTACATCTTCAGAATAATTGACGAAATTTTGAAGATCTGATGGTTTAGTAAATGATAAAGTTTTTTCAATTTCATTTTCAAATAAACTAAAAAAAAAATTAATTATATATAATCACTTTTTAAGAAAATAAGAATGCAGAATAGATATTAAAATAAGACAAAAAATTTATTTAAAAAAATGTATCAATATATTGATTTCTATTATAAAATAAATAATCTTACTGAATCGGTATCCATTTTGTAGATTCTTTACTACATCTTTTTTTACTTTGTTCTGCTAATTTTGCAATAATATTTGCATCTACATTTATTGATTTCGGTTTTTGCACACAACTTTTTAATCTCTCAATATTTAAAGTCAAATGTTGTATTTGTACCTTAAGTGTCGCATTTTCATGAACTAATCGTGCATTTCTTTGTACCACCTGAGAGTCCACACAATAAACAATTTCTTTTAATGAAAAATATAAAAAAATTATAGGATCGAACAATGACTAAAAATATCTGCAATTTTAAAAAGTTTACCTGTAAAAATCTTGCTTTACTTAAAGGCAGAGGCTCTTGAAACTTTTCGGATACAATTATATTAAGTTCTTCTCTTGCTTCATCTAGTTTCTCCATCATATCCGTTATTACTTGCAAGTGTTCCTTCAACAATTGATCAAATTTTTGCCTCAACGAATCTTTAGCATATTTCATTCGCAAAAACTTTATACATAAATTATATGTTGTTTCGATTTTCTCATTTAATTCTTCTCTAAGCGACTTATTCTCATCTTCCAAACATTCTCGTACTATCTCAAATTCTTTTCGTTGTTGGTGTAATTTCGAAGCACCACTTGCACATCGTGTCTTCTGTCTTTGTATTTCATTATTAAAAGAGTCCTTTTCTTTTTGATAGAGGAACCTCTCATCATCCAACTGCTCTAAAATTAAGTCGATGCATTTAAAGATCGCGATGAACTTAAATGATTTTTTTAATCTTACGTTTGAGGTTCTTGATATGTCTTTGTTGTTTTTTCAATTCGGTCGACAATCGCTCATTTTCTCGTTGCATTTTTTGCAATTGTATATCTTTTATTTGTATAATATTTTCTAATGATACAACCGTTTCTTTTAGGTCTGTTACCTTTAAATTATATATTAAAATTATTAATTAATTATCGATATAAAATGATTAAAAATCGCCTACTTGTTGACATAAATTTGTTAATTCCTCGTTGACGACTTGACATTGTGCATTCGAGCAAAAAATCTTCACATCTGGGCCCTTGTTCAGGCTGTTCTTAGAACTAATATTCTGCATATCATAATAGCAAATATTACGTTCTAGCGATGAACAGCAAAATTTTCTTGACCTTGAACCACATCACATCAAAATGTTTTGTATTGTTAACTTTGTTAACGATATTTTGCTTACCTCAAGTTTATCACCAATAAAACTTAATTACTGAAATAATTTACAAATATTGTAGGTTGTTCGTTTGTAAACAATCATAGGATTCTTCTAACAATACGAACCAATATATACCTCAAATATTGAAAATCATTAACATGTTTGTATTTATTTCTTCGAGGATTGTATAAACAAACAATTTCTTTCCCTCACATAATGACGAAAAATCACTTTCATTAAATTATTAGATATCTTTGATTGTATTAACAAATGATAAACGCTTAAACGTCAAAAATTTTTAACCTACAAGTATATAAATTTTTCTTATATGATCAAAAAAAAGGCATTTAAATAAAAATTACGTCATGCAATACTGATTAAAAGTTGTGAAATTTTTTATTGTATCGTATATGTACAAAATAGGTGTACAGACTACTTATCAATCGCATGGGCGCGTTTTATACACGCTTTATATATGCTATTATCGCATATAACACTGATGTAAGAGCATCACATTGTGTAGTACACCTGTGTAACCTCCTCTTCTGTTATCTTTCATCAAATGGAATGAATGTCAAGATGACGCGTAAATATGTTTCTTCTTTTTTTTTTTTTCTTTAATTCTGATCTCATCTTTTACCCTCTTTACAATTATTAAGAACATTCTAGTATAAGGGTTCTGTGACTAGTACCCCTTCCCCATCTTGTACACACGCAAATAATAAATTACACTGGAACGTTATCTTCGAAATCTGTTTTTTTTTTTTTTTCTTTAATTCTGATCTCATTTTTTACCCTCTTTACAATTATTAATAACATTCTAGTATAAGGGTTCTGTGACTATTACCCCTTCCCCATCTTGTACACACGAAAATAATAAATTACACTGGAACGTTATCTTCGAAATTTGTTTTTTTTTTTTTTTTCTTTAAAGAGCATAGTAATTCATTTTTTTGTGAATCGCGATTACATGACTACATTAGAATAGTGTATATTCGCATCACTGGAAGTGTTGATGTGTGAACACGGCATCGGAGAAGACAAAAAAGGAAATAATACGAATATACCTCACTGTAGGTCCGCCCGTGCTTTCCACTAATTTTATTAACAACAACTGGGCCAAATATCTGTTTCTTTTCACACTTCATTTTAAAAAACGTGTTCTTCTATTATCTTATGAATTTTTTGATAGTTTTAATCATTTTTTTTGTTTTTATTTTTTCATTTTTTTTGTTTTTTCTTCTTTTAACAGCATCGTAACGAGATAAAATAAACTAATAATATATGCGGTTGGCTCTCAGAAGAATGCCCTCTGAACTTTCATTTTCATAAAATTTTGTCAAAAAAATAATTTTTGATTCGTATAATCCTTAATATCTCGTAGTTTTCTTAATACGTTTTAAGGGTCACTCTTCTAAGGCAATTAAAAAAAAATATTTGATTAGATGTTCAAAAAATATTTAATATTATTTAAAAAAAATTCCACTTTCTATTCGCAATAAATGTTATATGAGTTCACAAACATGTTTATGAAATAAAAAATTGTAACGTTATTTTTCATAAAGTACATAGTGTGATATCTTATAATATTTTATTGGTCCAGTTGTGTTGTAGAAACGTGGAAGGCAACGTCTTTTGTTTGATAATCTGGTGAAACGATACTAGATTCGCACAAATGCGGATGATAATGATGGACTTACGCTTATTAGCCTAACTTAAAAGTTTGTTGTATTTCAATAGTAATAAGGCTGATGCTTATTTTTTCTTGTTCTTATTAGCTTGATTTTTGTATTTGGCTGCAGTTGTTAATTTGGCATTCTTCTTCTTGGGTTCATCTTCATCATCTTCCTCATCTTCTGGCTCCTAACATGTTAAAATAATAAATAGAATATAACTACGGAAATAGTTCATAAACTTTCAGGTATCATTATGATAAAATGAAAACCTAGAAGTGAAATTTTATTTTATAAAAGATCATATTCTTTACTGACATTCTAATGTATTTCTATTTCCTATAATACCAAAACATAATTCGAAAATAAATATGGAAAAAAGAGGAAGCATGATATGTAAGGAATAAAAGCAACTGTTTTAAAATAGGATGATTTATTATGCAAGAAAATAAAAGACACATGGAATGAAAACACAAACGCAGAAAGTTATATCCACGACTTTCATTTATTCCTCAATCTTCAGAGCCCTCCCGCCCCCCAGAAATTTTAATATTCATATAACGTGATTTTAAAATATTCTTGGTAAAACTTGTTTTTTGGATGATGATTGAATAGCAGCATTTTAATATTAGGACTCTATTTGTCTACAGCTTCATCCAGTTTGGCACGCTTCGTGCCATTTTTTTTACCCTCTGCAGAATGCTTTCTTTTCTTTTGTGGTGCCTGAAATTTGTATTCCTAGTATATAGAAAATGAAATACTAACACTTTTGTTAATATACATAATAAAAGCATAACAAAAGATATGATCATATCAAATTGATTTATATGAATGCAATTGCTTCAGTCGAAAATATTCTGCATTTTCCTTATATCAATTGTCAAAAAATTATGCAAGCCTAATTAGAATGTCAGTTATGAATACAATCTTCCCTTTACTTGTAATTTTTTAACTAACTTTTAATATGTACATGTATAGTATATACAATTAATCTAGAGGAAACATTATGTTTGTACCTTATCATCATCATCATCATCGATGTTCTCTTCCTCCATTTCATCATCCATATCATCAAACTCCTCCATATGTGTACCTGAAAAATGCGAAATAATACAATATTATTTAATTTAACTTTTTTCATTTTATTCATTCACTTTTCCTAAGAAAATAATTTCCATGATTAAACAATTATTAAATAACTATATTTTCTAAAATTTAATTTTTAAAATTATATTAAGATTTTATTTTTAATATAATTTAATATCTTTATTTTTAATATAATTAATAAACTTTATAATTCCATTTAAAAATCCATCTATACTTATCACAACTGTTAACTGTTAAAAGGCGTCCAGTTGTAATTATCGCCTTCTCTCTGTCTTTCTCTCTTTTATATATAATGTTTACTTCTAATATGATTAAGTATTTAAGAAAAATATTAGCATAATATACTTTAATATACATTCTATTGGTAAATATCTACATATCATAAATTAAATTTTTGTTATCATAAGTATTATAACTTTAAGATAATAATAAATATTAGAGATTATTACCAAGTAGATTATGTCCTACTATGTGAACAGGACCACTTCCTTTAACCAAAGTAAATGTGACTGGAGGATCAGGAAAACTGAGATCTAAAATAATCTGTGCTGTTTTCCCCATCTCCAACAAAGCAATTGGTGTTTTGATGGGTCCTTTTAGTCCCATTGCTTCAACTTGTAGTACATTCAGTTCACCAGGTTTAGCCTCTGGACCTAAAAGAGCCTTTTAAAAAACATATAAAGCTAATTAAAATTTAATTTTACTTGAAACTGATATATTGATCAGAAATAAAAAGTAAATATATATACATAAAAAATAAAAATTTATATAAAAACAACATATTTATAATAATTATATATTTTTTTTATAAAATATCTATTATTTATATGAAAGCAAAAATTTTTATATTTCAATCAATTAAAAATAAAAGAAATAAACAATTAAGAATATTTTTAAAAAGAATGAACTTGGCAAACATTCTTCATTATAGATTTATAAACATTAAATTGTTTATCTAAAATTGTTTATCTAAAATGAATAGTTTTATATTAAAATATACTTAAACAGTGCATTTACTAAACAAATATCAACATCACAAATTTTCATGCTTTTGTTTCTCGAAAATTCGAAAATAAAAAGAGGTTATTTTATCATAAAAAAATAAAGAATGAAATTTATAATAAAAATTAAATTTTTATAAAGATATTAATTTCACATCGTGATTAAAAATTCGCGCGCAAATGTAACGAAAGGTGATAAAAGCGCTCGAAAAATCGGGATTACTAGTGACGCCAAATATTGGTCATATATTTTTATACGGTTAATAGATAGATATAAGAAGTTGCGCTAAGCTGTCCGTCTGAGTCAGAAATTTATATCCAAATAAATCAACGATATACATCGTAGAACAAATAGAAACCATTTGCTATGAAATCGCGCGTTCATGAAAATTCTTTATTCTTTATAGAACATGGCAAAAAGCAAACGAAACGTACGTAATGTATCAAAGAGCAATAAAATATAATTTAACTATTCAATGTGCTCCCATCGATATTTTTTACTTACCATTTTTATGATCAGCTTCTGATCGGCACCAAAATGTTGGTTTGTGCCGTCTGCGTCGTCGTTCTTGTGCTCTGGATCCCATACCTCGCTAGAATTAAGTCCTTCGAGAGTGATTCCTGGACACACAAATCACAAAAGTACGCACAGGGAATATCATAAATGCTTGCCGTTATATCATAGTTTGATAAAAAACGCAAGTTCATTAGCTCTTTAGGGGACAATGGGAGTTCGTCACAATGGCCGAAAACCAGCCGGCGTCTCAACCATAGTACCGCTCGCGTCGAATGGCCAATGACGACGAA